ATGGGGCCACTTTCTATATGTATTATGTTGATGATTTTGAAATAGAGAAATGTAAAATCTAGCCTGCAGCTCATTGATTGACTTAATGAAACATATATGTGTGTGTGTGTGTGTGTGTGTGTGTGTGTGTGTGTGTGTGTGTGTGAGTTGAAAGGCTGTGGGCTAACGCTAAGACTTTTAGTTTCTAGTAAATTATATACTTAGCACTTAGCATAGTACCTGGCACATAGGAAGTGCTTAATAAATGCATAGGTGCTTAACTGACTGACAATTGAAAATAATATTATACTCTGAAATCTATGATTCTCACTTTGCATTTTTGTGAGAACATCTATTGAACTGGAGAAATGGAGCTGTGTTCTAACTACTATTGAGTTGGGTTACTTTGCTTCTCAGTACTAATCATCAACTTCTGTTTTGCTCTGGTCAGTATTTACTATGCCTGTCAGTAAATCTTTATATTTTCCTTGCTATGAGTCTAGTATCTGGAACAGTGGAACATTTTAAGGAGGAATTAACTATTTTAGTATATAGATGAGTTTTTTTATATTACATCCAGAAGCAGATGGATTCATATTTGTCTAGGCTATATTTTAGAAAGCAATTAACACAGGAATTTCACAGACAATGTGATTTTTCCATTTTGTCCTTTTTTAGCATGGATCATTTTAGTTTCTGTAAAAGTGAAAGAGAGAGAGAAGGAGGCAGGCAGACAGACAGACTGATAGACACAGACAGAGACATACAGATACAGAGAGACAGAGAGAAAGTGGGGGGAGGATGGGCTGTTTTCTGTTGATAGTCCAGTTTGACCCTGTTTATCTCAGTTCTACATATTTGGATATCTAATTATCCAGACTGTACAAACTGTTTTGATTTAAGGGGCTTCCCATATCCCATTTTGGTTTCCCAATGAGTGCAGCATGTTCATCATTTTGAAACTGTACGTTTCCTCCCTACCATCTCCAGCCCCTCTCCCGAGCAAGGAAGGGAATTTGAGACATTTCTCCATAGTCTCTGGCTTTTAATTATCCTACTAGCCTGTATAAACTCCATGAAATCAGGAATTGTCTCATATAAGCTTTGTCTCTTCTTCCTTGTCTAGAAAAGTGTTCTGTGCACAGCAGGTGTTTAATAGGTTTATTGAATTGAATCTGTTGGTTTCTGGTCTCTGTCCCAAATCCAGATGTAGGAGCTTTGCCACCCTTAATGGATTCTATCCTAAGTTAATTACTTTATGGGTGAAATGGGGTTTATATTGTTTTCTGTTGTTGAGTAGTTGTGTTTATATGAAACTTCACTCTCATATGATGGAAATAGTGTTAGAATTAAAGTCAGAGGACCGAGGCTTAAATTCAAGTTTTGTCACTTAGTTGAATGACCTTAGGTAAGTTGCTTTATCAGTCTGGTTTCCGGTTTCCTTATCTGAAAAATGAGAGGTTTTGATTGCATGTCCTCTTTCAGTCTGAAGGACTGAAATCCCTTCAGATTTTCACAGCTATAATCCTATAATCTAAACTAATGGCTATCAAACATTTTGGTCCCAGGACCCCTTTACAGTATTAAAAAATTATTGAGGCCCCCCCAAAGAGATTTTATTTATGTAGATTATAGCTGTTGGTATTTATTGATATTAGAAATTTAAAAAACTTAGTATTAATTTTGACCTTACAGACACCCCCTTCCCCCCCCCCCATGAATGGGTCTTGGGAACTCCAGAGGATGCCTGTACCACACTTTTGGAACTGCTGATCTAAGGAAATGATTAATGCTAGTGTTCTCTTTCTGTTGTCTACCTTTAATTTATCATATATGTATCTCTTTCTATATATTTTTGTACAGAGTTGTTTGCCTCTTGTTTTCCCCATTAGACTGTGAGAGCCTTAAGGACAGAGACTGTCTTTTGCCTTTCTTTATATCCCCAGCTTTTAGCACAGTGCCTGGCACGCAGTAGGCAATTCATGCTTGTTGACTGACGTTGAACTCCAACCCTGAACTGGTACTCTCATTCTCTATACTCCAGATCGAACCATCCTTTATTTTTATTTTTCTTACATTTAACCATGAACCAAGCAGAAGTTAAAAACAGCTTCCTAGAGTTCACTCTCTTAAATGAGAACTGAATTTACATTGTTTGAAAATTATTGGACAAGTATTAAGCTAGGACATCAAAACTATCCATGAAATGGACGCAGTCAGTTCTTTCATCCACTTTGAGCTCCTGTATAGATAGGTGCTTCTAAGGACTTCTGTAACCACTATTTCCACATTCCCCTCCCTTTTGCACCTAGGTACAGCCCTAGTCCAGACCCTTATTATCACCTGCTGTGACACTAGCTTGTTAATCAGTGTCCCTCCCCATCAGTCATTTGATCCCCCTTCCATTTGTACTCTCTGCTATAGTTGAATCAGACCACTCAGCCTCCCTTACACTGACTGACTGACTGATCTTTTGTTTCCGCTAGTGTCTTGTGCAGTTCTCCACACAGATCAGTGCTTAATAGATGTTGGTTGATTTAATTTCCCACTTGGGCTGGATTCCTTCAGACTTCTCATATCTCTTGTCCCCTTTTCAGCTTCTTTTTGTGCATTGTCTTCCTTCATTAGATTGTAAGCTCTTTGAGAGCAGAGAGTGCTTCTCTTTTTTGTATTTGCTTAGCACAATGAGTGACACACGATAGACCTTAACAAATGCTTTTATTGACTGACTGAAATTGAATCCTGAGGAATTCTGCCTTTTCTTGTCATGAACTGGCTGAGAACTGACCAGTGGCCTGAGAACTGACCTTAATGCTGGAGTTACAATTGTTATTCCCCCAGTACCAACCTTATACTTGGGGCTTTGTAGCTTTAGATTTTGAGAAGACAACAACCACATTAATACCAACTATTATTCAGTCCAGCGCTCTCCAGTTTAAGATCTTGCCTCTGGCAGAGATCTAACCCTGTATTTCTGAGAAAGGAAAAACATACAGTAATAGCTTTGGGAGACTGCCAGGAAACAACTCCCCCTTCAAACAATTACTTTCTATTATTCTTTGCTGAACATTTGATACATAATTCATCATGTTCTAAGCATATTCATTAGAAACTCTGTATAATCACATTTTAAAGATAAACAGCGTTTATCAAATTATCATCCAAATATTCGTCTCAAAGTCAGATCTGATACTTCACCACAAAACCTTCTGGAGAACACGAGCGTTTTTATCCTTCTCTCCCATTATTCTTCAGGATCTTGAGGATACCCCAGAAGTCCCATGAGACAATCCCCTCTGTGTCCTGCTTATGTTCTAGGTCCCATGTGTATCAGGAATGCCTCAAGATAGTTCTTAAACATTTGAAATGGTTAGTGGCAGGTTAACATATGATGGAATCATGCTTGACATATTTGGAAATACTATATTTTTTTCCTTTATTTTCCTAGTTTTTGACAGTGGATGAAGGGTGCAGATGCTAGGAGGATCATGTGTACACATATATTTAGTTGGAGATTTGGACAGATAGATGTCTGGACAGAAATAGAGAGGGGATTAAGTGGGAGATGGGCTCTTTGTGTGGACATAATAGGTTCACAGTTATGTGTCAAGCAGTAAAAAATTCCATTCAAGTCAGTCCTCAATAAAACATAGTGCCTGGCACATAGTAAAAGTACTTAATAAATGCTTTTTTTCTCTTCCTTAGGCACATACTACATGTAAGATATTGTATAAGGCATTGTGCTAGAGGATAATAATAATTATCCATTCATTGAAGCATGTATTAAATGCCTACATTATGTTAGGCACAGAGAGATACAAAGAAACAAGTGAAAACAGTCCCTGTCCTCAAGGATCATTCATTCTATTTGGGGAAACAATATGAACACAAATAAATGAACTTAAAGTGCATATAAAAGAGAGATACAAAGTAATTTGTGCGACTAAGAGGTACTAACAATTGGAGGAATTAGGATAGACCCCATGCAAAAACTGATGCTGGAACTGAAGGGAGCTATTTTCATAGGCAGAAAAGAGGAGAGAATGCCTTCCAGGCACAAGAAGCAGCCTGTGACAAAAGATTGAATTAAATATATGGCGAAGAGCAACTATGTGAGTAGGGCAGCTACATGGAGTTACACCTGCACTACAGTAGTAGGAGCAGCTAGGTACCTCAGTAGATGGAGTGGAGGGCTTGGAGTCAGGAAGAGTTAGGTTCAACTACACACTTACTAGCTGTGTGACCCTGAGTGAGTCAGTTAACTAACCTCTGTTTGCTTCAGTATGCACATCTGTAAAATAGGGTAATAATAGCACTTACTCCTAGAGTTGTTGTGAGGGTTAAATGAGATAACTGTAGCATGGTGCCTGTGATTTAGTAAACAATATATAAATATTAGTTGTTATTATAACTTACAGTGATCTGGGGGAGTAGGCCAGAGTTCCATTATGAAAGGCAGAGAAGTTTGCATTTTTTCTTAGAGGCAGTTGAGAGTGCCCAGATTCTTTGGTAGGGGAGCGACATGGTCAGACTTATACTTTAGGGATATCACCTTGGTAGATGTGTGGAGGCAGGACTGGAGTGAGGAGAAACTGAGTTCAGAGAGATCATCCAGAAGGCAATTGCAGTAGTATATTTAGAAGTCATTTGACTGTGAGCTTCTTGAAAGCAAGGACTGGCTTTTTTTTTTTTAAAATGTCCCTAGTACTTAGCACAGAGCCTGGCACCTAGTTAGCACTTAATAGATGCTTGTTGACTGACTGAAGGCCTGAACTGAGGTGATGGCCGGGTAAGTGGAGAGAATAGCTTCTCATATTTATATCGCATTTAAGGTTTGCAAAGCATTTTTTCGCAGATTGTCTCATTTGTCTCAACAGTAGATGAGGTAGGTGCTGTTTTTTTCTGTCTTTTTGGCAAATGAGGGAGTGAGGCTCAGGCAGATTAAGTAAGTGATTTGCCTGAGGTTACATAGGTAGTAGATATTTATAGTGGGATTTGAACTAAAATCTTCTTTATTCCAGCTGCCAAGTCCCTGTAGACTACATCATGCAGAGATCAAAAATGGTGCCATCCTATCCTCAAGGTGCTTACATCTGGTAGGTGAGATATAAGTATAATGCCAGTTAGAATGAGAAAGCACAACTTCATTTGCTTGTTGGAACAAAAAAAAACCATATTAAAGGATATATATATATATTTTGAAGGTGGTATATTTACAAAATTATATCACTGTTTTGGGAAAGACAGGAAAACTGCCCAACAAGGCCAAAATACTCTCATGGAAACCAGTGAATCAAATAAGGTTTGAAGTTTGCCTTATGTGATACTGCCATATTTTGCAATTTTAGTTTCAAAATAGGAATTTTATTGTATTCCCAAAATATGGCTAAGCCCAAACAGATTCCACATATATTGGCTTTTCTCTGGAAGGTTTGTTCATTTTGAATTTCCTTCCCCTTTCTCTTCCCCCTTCCTCCTTTCTTCCCTCCCTTCTTAAAGTGGCTAATATAGTGCCTTGAGCCTAGAGGGGAGCTAATAAACATTTGTTAATTATAGACGATTTCAGAGTCCCAGGGGGGGAATTTTATAAACTGTTAGTGTATAAAGAACCATTCCCTAGCTTTTGAACATACTAATAGCCATCAATAAAGTCATCTTCAAATACAAAGAACAAGGGTGATTGTTTGATTGCTTTGTAACAGATGCCATCTATGTGAAAGCCATCTCTTTGGGACAGGGTAGGTCTATTCCTATCTGGATATAAAGGGGGAGATCATGACTTCAGGATCTCCCTTCTAGCCATTGTGTTTCCATTTATTTAATATACTTAGTGTATTTGGTAAGTGTGGCCTTAGATTTATTTTCTTTCTGTTTTGGACAATTAAGCTTCAAAGTAAAGCAGATCTGCTTATAGTTATGTCCCTTAATTTGAAGAATGCTTCTATCATGTGTTTCTTCAGCAAATCATAATCAGTTGCAAAGTTGTACCTACTTATCTTCCAATTCCAGGCAGCCAGTTGGCACAGTGAACAGACCCCTGGGCCTGGAGTCAGGAAGACTTGAATTCAAATCTGACTTCGGACATTTACTAGCTCTGTGACCCTGGGCAAGTTACTTAATCTCTGCCTCAGTTTCCTCAACTACAAAATGGGGGTAATAATAACACCTACCCTTGAAAGGAAAATTATTCATTTGGGCTTTCATCTTGATTAACAAGATAAAACTCAGGATGAAGAGAATTAAAAGGAGTTTATCATAAATATGTCAAGGTAACAACATGTGGAAGGGCTTGTCACTGGAGATCAGTGATGGCTTCAAGATGGGGCCAGCTTTTATAAGTAACTTTAAGGTAGCTTGGATAAAACCTTTGCATCTCAGTTCCTCCCCATGACAATTTGGAGGTAGGGATACAAAGGTCATGGGAGATGTCTTGGCTAGTGACAAATATGAGGGGACTGAGTGATTGACAAGCAGTGAGTAACTTTCAATACTTTTGATGGTGTTGAGTTGTTTCAAATTGTGTCTGACTCTTCATGACCCCATTTGGGGTTTTCTTGGCCAAGATACTGGAGTGGTTTTGCCATTTCCTTCTCCGGCCCATTTACAAATGAGGAAACTGAGGTAAAGAAGGTCAAATGACTTGCCCAGGGTCACACAGCTAGGAAATGTCTGAGGCCACATTTGAACTCAGGAAGATGAGTCTTCCTGATTCCAAGTTCAGCACCACCTTAACGTTCAATGCTACCTCACGAGATTATTGTGAGGATCAGCTGAGATAATAATTGTGAAGTGCTTAACACAGTGCCTGGCACACTGTAGATGATTAATAAATTCTTTTCCCCTTCTACTTCCTTTCCCCAATTAGCTGTTCAGCCACGGTATACTTGACAAGAAGGAAAGGTTGGTGAGAAGAGTAAAATCAGGGGTGTACTGGTAAATTTTTAACAACCCGTTCTCCAATATGTATATATGCATACATGTATGTATACACATGTGTATATGCATACATGTATTCATACACGTATGTATGTGTATATATTTATACGTATGTGTGCAGGACACACTTTTAAGTTTAATCCACATTTTAACAGTTTTTTCCATCACTTTCTTAATTCTAGACAATCAATAAAACACTAAATCAAGCCTTGTTTTGTAGTGTTTATTGATTTCGGAAGTGACAGTGCTCACAGTGAAAATTTCTCAATCAATTCTTGCTCGCCAATTGGAGTTGGCTCCAGCCTAGCCCTGGGTAAAAGTGTAGATCAGAAGTGTCAAACTCCTCCCTGGCATGTTGCAGCAAGATTCCCCAGATTAAAATGTGATTGTAAAATGTTTAACAAAATAAATAAAAAGTATGATACAACATAGATAATGTTTAATTTTTTTATTTTCTAAGTCAATATGTGGCCTTTAGGGATCTGTCTCTAAAGGAGTTTAGCACCGCTGGTCTAGATCATGGAATCCTAGGGGCCATCTAATCCAGTCACCTCATTTTCCAGGTGAGGAAAGAAAAGCCCTTACAGTGGCTCTGTCCTGGGCACTGGGAATACAAAAGACAAATACCAGACAAAAAATAAAATAGTCCCTGTCCTCAAGGCACTTAATGTGCAGGAGAAAAATGCACACATAAATGTATATATACAAAATAAATAGAAGGTAAAGGGTGGGGAGGGGGAGAGGGTTAGAGATGTTGGCAGCTAGTGGAGATCAGAAAAGACCTCAGGTAGAAGGTGACATTTGAGCTGAGCTTGGAAAGAAACCAGGGATTCTAAAAGATGAAAGTGAGAAGGGTGTACATTTCATACATGGCAAGCAGCCTGTGCAAAGGGGGAAGGAAATGGAGTGAATTCAGGTGGCTGAATATTTACCCATCTATTGAAGAATTTAGTTATAGTTATGTCATAGAGGGCTTCAGACAGCATTCTACTTTGGCTGTGTTTCTTTTGCACCTCTGTTCTTTCAGTGCTGGCTTTCTCTCTCTCTGGCTGCACTTTGGAGAGCTGTTTTTACAAGGCAGAGGCCAGAGGCAGCATTAGATTTTCGGGGGGGATGTTTAGTCTGAGAGATTTGAAAGGTTGGGTAAGTATCGTCCCTAATCTAGGTTTACATCTCTGTAAGTAGGAAAGACAAACATTGGTTTCACAGATCTTCAGTTGTCTAGCAAGCAGCACAGCTGTTTTGTTTTGAAAAAAATGTTGAAATTATGCCGAAGATCATAGGATACTAACAATAACACAGTCTTATTCTCTGAGGTTTGTGCCATCCCTTTCCCCCTCTGTACTCCTAGCTAAATAAACCTTTTTAGTTTCACCTGTCTGTTAATTGTGTACTCTGCTTTCTGTAGCATATAATGCAAGGGCTTGCGTCCAACTTTAGCCCAAGGTTTATTGTTAACTAAAATATTACAATACACACGCTTTCTAGTTCATGTCTAGATCTTTTGTGATTGACCTAATAAATTATACTTAACACCTTAAGGGAGGATTTTAATGTTTTCATTGACACTGAACATGAATTTAGACAGCCCCTAGGGCTAATGTTAGACATTAGGCTGTTATTGAATATTAGCTGTAACATGTACAAATATAATGCTGCCAACCCATTATTAACAACCCATTACAACATGCACCTTGGGTTATTTTTTTCACTGGTAGGGATGGATTTGTGCTCATCCATTCATGCTACCTCACCCCATCCCTTATGTGACTAATGGCTTGTTTGTGTGAGTTTCCTGGCCAGGGTCTGTGCCTTAGGAATAGAGTGAGGGTAATTGGTAGGCTCAGGATTGAAGTTGTGACCTTGGCTTCATTAGCACTATGCTCCAGCCAATTGCATTAACTTGTAAATGCACCCACCAGCTTTCCTAGGTTTTTCTTCTGTTACCATCTTGGACTTAAATCAAGTTTACTATAAATCTCCCCCTCACCTGCTATGTAGAAACAGGAGAGACTGAGAAAACACTAGTGATTGAGGTGGGGCATACAGCACAAAGAATTATGAGTGATAGAGCAAAAGATTATGGGAGAGCGCAGTGGATAGAGCACCAGCCCTGAAGTCAGGAGTACCTGAGTTCAAATCAGCCCTCAGACCAAACACTTGACACTTACTAGCTTTGTGACCCTGGGCAAGTCACTTAACCCCAATTGCCTAAAAACAAACAAACAAACAAATAAATAAAGATTATGGGAGAGAAGAAAGTAGATGAAGGAGTGAGAAAATTATCTTGGTGCCACACTTTGAATAATTGTAAACTCCATGTTGTGTCTCCTAAAGCCAATGACTATTCATAGTTTTTGAGCCCTGCAGTCTCTGGAAACCAAATTCTCTTCATGAGGTTTTGTATAGTAGATGACATCAAAATCATTCTAGTTTTCCAGGTTTAAAATGTCAGAGACATATTTCACTCTTCTGTACACACTCTTTCTCTAAGCTTAAACATTCACTGAGTTTGGGCCAGAATGCCTGGGTGCTGGTCCCAGCCCTGCCTGTTGGCACTGACTAGCCCTGTAACCCTGGCCAACTAACTAATCCTCTCTCTAGGTTTCAATTTTTTCTTATAAAATGTGGAAATTTGGGTAGAGGTTAGCTATAATGTTCCATGATTGTTCTTAAACATCTCTGTGCCTTCCTTTCCATTGACATTGCTATGACTCTAGGTTAGGTTCTCACTGCCTGGATTATTGTAACAGGACCAGAATTGTCTGCCTATTTTCAAACTTTTTATATACTGCAGTCAGAATGATTTTCTTAAGACATGATTTCAGTCATATCGCTCTCATAGTCAAAAGCTTCCCATCGCCTTCAGGAAAAATCTCAGTATTCTCGACCTAGCATTCAATATTCTCCATAATTTGAACCCACTTCACTTACAAAAAGTAGAATTTATCACTGCCTGACCCAAACTTGTTACCTACCTTCATGTTCATCCCTAATTCTAAACCTTTATTTATGCTATTCCTCTGACTGAGGTAGCTATATGACCTTGGCAAGTCATTTAACCTCTGTTTGTCTAGGAGGCAGCTAGGTGACTTAGTGGATAGAGTGCTGGGCCTGGAGTCAGGAAGACCTGAGTTTGAATGTGGTCAAAGACCACAAG